ATCCGCAGGATATAATGGCACAATCAATAATCAAATGACAATACACCTTCACAAATGTTTTCTACCACACTCCCTGAAACTCAATATTATTTAAGTTTAGAGAAAAAGAAAGGAAAGGAATAAAGTCTAGGAGAAATGTGCAGCAAACCTCTCATGCTAAACTGACGAAGCCCTCAACCACTTTTATCACCTCCAACTGCACATTGGCCATTCTTCTTCCTCCTGCCGTTGAAAATATGACTACAATTAGAAAATACTGCTTTCATAGACAAGAAAGAGCATTCATCCTTATCAACATCTGAGAGATTCATATTACCAAATATAAGAGATTATAATAGTTCCAATCACTCAAATGGGGACTTGAAATACACATCTTGTCCACCACTTACAACCATTTCAGTGTCTTTTCCAAATATTTCCATACATTTTGGAACTTGGATTCTGTTCTTTCACTCTTATCCAAAAGCCATATCACCATAACCCATACATCCACAATTGTGCTCAGTGACAGAGACAGAGTGCAACAATAAACAAAAACAAGTCCATTTCACAAACAATAAACAAACTCATTAACAATCACGTGAATTAAAAGCCAGTGAAGCTCACAAAATAACGCAGGCACATCCTTGCGACCCGAAAACCTAACGCGCAGGACGTTCCCGGCGAGCTCAGACGCGTGACTCCTGTGCAGACCGTGAGATACTTGGCAAGACCCATGCAGCGACGCACAGACCCGCGAGAATCTCGGCAGTACCTAATGATCCGCATCCTTAGTGCTCGACGCACACGCACACCCTCAACGCCGACGCACATCCCGTATGCGGACAGTGCCTGACGTGCAGAGACCCGTCCGATCCCGACAGACCTGCACGCGAGCAACACCCGAACCACTCGTGACCTGGCGATCCCAAGGCCCGATACGGCAATACCAAAGATAGTCCGACTGCCCAATGAACTTTGAGGTTCAGACGATAGAGTCGGCAAAATTTTTAAACCGTAATCCTAATCCTAACTATAGATTTCGTTGCGTTAGGATTTAATTCAATAGATTCAAATGTGTATATCGACGACGTTTCCTATAGAACCCAACAGACCTACGATTACTTAATCGTTCAATGCATCCTGGCATCTTCTTTCATCAAGGTAAGTAAAGTAACAGAACTACGAGGATTTTGGTTTCCAATGTAAGGGATACGTAGACAACTTAATTAACATAATATAAGTTAAAATATCATTTTTAACCCAAAAAATTTTTCAACTTAATTGATATGTTTACTTATAATATATCAACTAGGATAAAATTCAAATTTTTTAACACCCACCACCCTCCCTCTATTTTTTTATGGTTTCCAAAAAACTTGTCGGAAGTGGTTCAACCCTAAATTGGCCCAAAACTTGCGGGCCGATTCTAAACTGTGAACCGCCGAAACGGTCCGTATATATTATCGGTTTGATTCTAGTTCACCACAATTGCTATCGGGAACCGTTGACTTGGCCATTTTTTTCTTT